GCGTAAATTTCATGTGCAAATTACGCAAAAAGTACTTGTTTAAAAAAAATGTACACAACCTATTTTAAAGGGTTGATGTTTTACTTTGTTATTATGTTACCGATGTTATATTTTTAATTACAACTTTCTACTCTTAACTGACAAGATTTTTGAGAGTTATCCATGGAGGATGCAAAAAATCTACAATGTGTTAGCTAGTGTACCAGAAATAAAATGTTCATAAACATCAAAAAATGTTCAGAAATCACCTTCTCTTGAAGGCGTTGCTAATGGCGTCTCGATATGTAATGATCTCTCCATTCTTAAGTAGACCTGGCACTGTGTTTGGTATCCCTTAATTTGGCATATCTTCCTCCATACCTGACATGGTGGCACATGGCAATTGAGTGAAGAATACTCTCCCTGATGAATTCTTGCTTTCTAAAATGCTTATTCTCACCATCGCTCTGCATCTTTTCTTTTCAATTAGGTTTTTGTACAGATGGATATCGTTTCAGTCATGCTGATACTTTATATGGGCACTAACCACTCTAGAACAGTCCTAATATCACTATTGGATAAAAGGAGTTTCACGGTTTACCAGTCGATTTTGGAATTGCAGTGAAAGCAGCTAAGAGTAGAGGGCTATTTAAATATGCAGTCATTCTGTTCACATCGCCGAAAGGTCCATTTGAGAGAAGGACATTAGCTTGAAAAATTGACTAGTCAGTGCACTGCATGATCATTAAAGAGGGTTAAGCAAACCCACAGCCTAGGCTATCAATGTGGTTGACAGTGGGAAAATGGACACTTTCAAACAGGTCTTTTAATATGGTTCTTTCACTAAGGAAATGTACATTTTTTTGAAACTTTAGTAGTTTATTGTGTGCAATATTGCATGCAATATTTGCAATTTGAAAAAATTACAAAAACAAAATGTACTCAAGAAGATTTCTCTCCCATGCTCTTTTTTCTTTTGATTCTGAACACCTTATTGAGGCTCTGATTTCATCAGTCTGTTCTCTTCTCAAACAAAAAAACCTATTCAAATCGTCAGGCCATTCAAAATATCCCCTCTTCCTTCTGGTATAGGATAGGGAGGAGGCTGTAAGTTTCATATGATAGAAGTTGTTTTGTTTCTATGCCTCCCTACCCACTATGAAATCCAACAAGGGAACTGGGGTGAGAGGGATATCATGGAGATATAGTGGGGAGATGACAGAGCACGACCTTGCAATGGCTTCCCCTAGAATTCAGTCAAAGATCTTGTCTGAGCCGATTTATCAGGAGTGGGTTCACTCCCAAACGCTGGTGTGCAAGAGGCCAAGGCACAATAGGGTGTATTTGGACATGCAGTAAATACCTACACACAGTCTCAAGCATTTAGTGGAGTTGCACAACAACACAAACTTGGTCTAGACCAAGGTTCCAGCATCAAGGCGGCATATATGTGAGCTCGCAGAGACCCTCTTAACCCAATTCCCATTGAAATGGGTCGTCTTGCACAGCAAATTCAGCATACAAAAAAATGCAGTGAAAAAGAAATTAGTGGTGCTACAGAATGGCACAGACTTTTTTGTATTAGTTTTGTATTTTCTTTGGTCTGGACTAGCTATTCTGACTTGCCCCACCCTCTTGTCAGCTGCCATCTATCGCCACCCAATGTAAATTTTCTCGATATTTCAGTGTCTGGATAGTAGAAAAGAATTGTTACTTTAAGAATGTTAAAGAAGAGTAAAATCTTGTCTTAAATGGGAATTTTTATTGAACAATTTGGAACCATTTGTAAGAAAATGGTATTTGAGCATTACCGTGAATGCGAAGCTCTTTTCACAGAAAACTATTGAGTTTTCAAAAAACTTAATTTAAAGTAAATTGAAGCACTTTCAGTTACAAATGCAATAGTGTTTGCAAATCGCTGGAAATGTGCATATTGAAGTCATGAGAGATATTTTAAAAAAAATTACATTTGTGTAATTATTTGAAAAAACAAAAGAATACACCAAAATCAACCTTATGTCATATTAAACAGTGCAATTAGTTCTATCCTTTGGAAAGATTTTTTTTTAAAATTGAAGTAATGTTTGAGAAAATGGCATTAAGCATTTCTGAAAATGAGAATTTTGAGCTCATTTTCACAGAAAACTGTTGAGTATTTGAGAATCTTCATCTGACGATATTTAAAGCACATATACTTGTAAATAATTAACTGTGAACAAATTGGCTGCTAATGTAAGTATTTAACGATAAATGACGGTCAAAAACAATTTAATTTTTGTAATTTTTTGGAAAAAACAAAAGATAGAGCAATATGGCATGTATGTCATTGTATAGAGTGGCATTTAGCAAATATAACATTCTTTGACAATTGATAATGCTTTTCTACAAATAACATATGCGACTATTGTTTATAATGATGCTTATTGCATTCTTAAATATGAAAACTTGCTTTCTGTCGTCATTCATTTTCAAAACATGTGCACATGCAATACAAGCTTAACATTATAAACTAGATGCGTAGTATACTATTATGCAGTCTTTAGGTCTTAATTTAAAATCACATAAGTGTGTTGCATGAGTGTGATAGTTGTATCTGCAAAGGTCTCTTTGTAATTTATATTGTGGTTTTTAAGTACTTAACTGGGGGCCAATAACTATGTATTGAAGCACTTTTTAATCCTCAATCAATCAAAATATATTTGTCTATACAATTTATCTATGCTTCTTTCTGTTGCATCAGTGGGTCAGGAATAAATGGTTGAGTAGGTTGAATGAAAGGTTGAAATAGTTCTTTGAAAATATTTTGATAAGGGAATAAAACAAGAGTGCCATTACTTTGTGCCAAGCATATGCCTTTCGTAAAGTATGTAGATCATCTCATTTGTGTTTTCAGGGACTTTCGTGAAGGATCCTCATGAAGTTTTTGATTTTGTGGTGAAGTTAATCTCACAAGCAAAAAGACGACCATCTTCGTTCTCTCTGGAAGGGTTGTATCATTGTCTCAACAGGACCACATTATTCCTTTTATCTAGGCCTACTGAAAATATTGCTGATCAAATGGCTGTTTTAGAGGCACTCCATAAACTGACAACCCATAGGTAAGTGGGGTTGAGAATGAGATACCATTTTGTATTTACATGATATTTTACTAATTAATAAATTAAATAATTAAATGTGACATTGACTGGTAGAATTCTGGAACGTGTTTCATAAGTTGTCAATCAGCCACTGTACCATAATAAAGAATAGAAACTAATAAAGATTAGAAAAAAAAATTGATTTCATATTAAACATTTTTCATAAGTTTTTAATTGTAATATTCCAGGATATTTTTGTGAGAGATACCATTCAATAATTGTTGTTAAAATAATTAACAAAAAATATAATATCTCTGTTATTTAAACAACAATGCTTAATATATTGGTTATGTTTCATGTTACTTATTTTGATAATTGCAATTTGCATGGGAACCCTTTGCAATGTAAAATGAAGTTTGTATGCTAGTTTTCTTCAAGATTTTTATTGTGTATTGTTGAAGAAGTCAGAGAAATGTGAAGTATATTTTACCTAGTTGTGAAACATAATAGTATATTTTGAGAGTTATTGGATTTGAGAAGTCTCAAGTCTACTACCTCACAAATCCCATTAATTGATTTTACTTCAGTTTAATCAATATGATGAACACATGTTATCTTTTGATAAAAACATCAATATTTATATTTTGAAACAAATTCCAACTTTTAAGTTATTGTAATGTAAATAATTATTGTTAAGTAATTGTTTATAGAACATTTTTAAAGGTTCTTAGAGATCAATAAAATCATAAAAGATACATACTACTTTTAAACAGTTTCAAATAATTGATCAATAGAATATTTAAGTTTTAACATTAAGTTTGAACAACTATATTTAAGTTTTAACATTGATTACTACTTTTCTATTTGTTTCCCAACTATTCTGTCTCTTTCTATTTTTCTCCTGTTTAAATTTCTTGTGTCCCTTTCTGGTTAACTCACATGTCCTTTGAAATATTTAATAGTATTTTCACATATTTAAAACTGAGATGACATGGCTTATCTCAATTTCTCTTGCAACTTTGATGACTGAATTCTTGAACTTTATTTTTCATTAAAGCAGATATTCAGTTTTAGCATTCAAGCATTATATTCAATTTTTAAATCTATATTGTTTAATGTTTTTTGGGATTTTAAATATGTTTATTTTTTTCCTTCGGTAAGTTGTTTTATTTCTTTGTTTGAAATTTTATTTCTTCTTGTATTTCTTTTTTCTTTTGCATAGCAATTAATATCAACCCTAATCAATATTTGTTTAGTTTATCTCCAATCTTCTTTTAAATTTACACTTATAAGTTTCTAATATATTGTTATAGGGGATTAGTGTTTGGTTCCGGCAACCATGAACTGGATTTTATTGGCTGTCTTACATACTGCCTTCTTCAGCTTACCTCAGATATGAAGATCATGTGAGTGTTTCTATAGGGGTTCAGTTTTTCTCATCTCAGAGTGAAAATAATACTTTGTTCAAAAAAGAACATAAACAGAAGATTATTAGAGTTAATGAATAGAAATTTAATGAAGCCATGATCTATATCTAGTATTATCTACTCTTGGTCATACACATTCTGTACTGTGGAATTTATGTACTTGATTATATGTGTTTTTAAGTAATATATATTACTAATTTACTATGCATGCAGATATTGAAAGAAAACAATACTGCCTTCAACCGCATAAGTAATATCTATTGTTTCGTAAGATGCCCAGAAACTTGAGGAAAATACAAAATCAGTGAGATAGCTTAATTTTGACTGAAAATTACTAACATATTATTATGTTAATCCACAATTTCTGTGTTTGCAATTGAAACCTCCTGTTCCTGAATGAACTTATATAATGTATCTGGCTCTTTGAGAACTTAAGAAAAAAATGTGTGTTGGAAAAAAAGCTTCCTGTTAGAAAGTCAAAGTTATTTCACACTATCTCAAAAATTAAAAATGTTTTAAACAAAAATGAAATATATTATTTCTCTATCATCTACAATAACCGAGCACAGAACACTTTCTCATCAGCTGAATCTTTGCTGCTGCAGGCCACTATTTAAATGTGAAAATTAATGAAAGTGAATTGTGTATTCTAGGTTGGATACTAATATAAAAACTACTTGGCATGTCAATCCTCAGTTGGATGATTGTGATGAAATGTTAACATCTCACCAAGGACATAATCTTATGGCTGTAGCTGCAAAACGTGTGTGGGAAGAACTCTATGTCTGTAAGAAACCAGCTATTGAGGAGGTATTTAAAAATACTAAATGTGTGATGTGTTAATGCAGAATTATTTTACATTAAAGACATACACATTCATGTGTTTACTTATGTTTTTCTCACAAGGTTTTTAAAATCACTCTCAATTCACCTAACAACAAAGCTCCAGAGTTGGCTGCAGTAAAGGAGCAAGTATATGAGTCAGCCAACAGACTTTGGCTTAATTATGTTGATATGGAACGTAAATCTTCTTATCGTGTGCCTTGGGAATTGCACAACCAAATACAGTCTGTAAGTTATCATTTTTTAATTTGTTTTTATACCATATACAAGATACATTACTATGCATCATAGAATTACTTTGATTCATCTCGTTATAGAAAATTCAAAAAGTTACTGGTGGACTTACACGTTTGGCTAGTCGAACAAAAGTGAAGAAGGAAGAAACTATTCGTGTTCGATATTCCCAGCTCCCTATGAGTGACATTGGTGCTTGGACATTGAGTCATGTAGCACTTGTCAGAGAATTAGTTGAAGTTCAAGAGAAACAATATCAACAAACCCAACAGCATATGCAACGTTACGTATTTGAAGAATGGCTTCAAACAGAGACAGAATTGACCCGTGAGAGAGGTTTGTGGGGTCCAGTTATTGGCAACAGGTATGAATTTATTATGATTCTTTGTTTCTTTTGTTCATAATGTTTTAGAAGATACTTTGAAAATATGAATAGACTCTGCAAACAGATGTACTGAAGAATGAAGGAAATACAAAGGATTATCTTAAGGCTTAACAATTTCAGCATTGAGATAAAGAGCTTGTATGGCAATGATTAGTGCCATGTGAAGATGTAAGAAGGTGACATTCAAAGGAATAGTAATAGCTAGATGTTTGTCTAGAATACATTTAACATGTGGAGTACAATTTAAGAGTGGCTTACTATGAAAGCAATAGCCTTGTAGAGATATGCTTATGACTTAAGATATAAAGTAGGAATTCAAACACTTATCACCTGATGCAGAAATCAGACCTTTTAGATCCAATCCTTCTAGAATTATCATGCTTCTGAAAAATTTTTAACTTTTTATATATGCACATGTATACAGAGTATTATACATAGTAGATAGAAAGTTAATTAACCTTTACTAATCTGGTAAAATTCACTTATGCCTAAGCTCTAGCAGAGCCCTCAGGTGCCTCAAAAAGTACATCACTGAAAATCTCAATGTAAAAAAATTTATTTCAAATTCTGTTCTTTCGATCAGTTTACAATGTTTATAATAAGAATAAAAAAGTAGATTACAAACAATTTTTACCCACTGAATTTCTGTGATCTGGGCATATATGTTTACCGCACTTCTCACATACTTCTCACTTCTTCTCACTTCTCACACTTCTCACATCTTCGTCTTTCTCTATGCATTTCTTGCACAATGTATCATCGTGCTGTTCTAGTTGGTTCGGACTCAGACGATGTTGAAGGAAGGGGATTATGTTTTGTGATTATACTGTAACACAATCATAACAGTCAAAATACACACAAAACATCAATCAAAGGAATTTAAAATAACTTACATTAACACTATGGTGGGGTATTCTCAGACCTTTTTCCCCCTAATTCCAAAAATAAACCTCAAATCACTTTGCACAACCAATCAAAACTAATAACACAATGCCTCTGAAGTATACTGACTATATGAATGCTGCCTAGTTATTGGAATATGAATTATGACATATACTACGGCCTCAGGTTTCCAGGACCCCACTAGACTAGTAAAGGTTTAAAGCTGTGAAAAATAAATTTCCAGATTTTAATGAGAATACCATTTTGGGATTTCCCTGATGTTGAAAGTGTTTTTATTTTGTTTTCCAAAATATTTATCTGTCTCCCTAGGGCTTAACAGGAATTTTTCCAAAATTAATTTTTATGATCAATCAATCTCGCCTGACTTGAGATCCTATGAATTTGAAACGAATTTGTTATTTGGGGTACTTTAAATAAAGCTCCTGGGATATTTTCAAAATTTTCTCAAAAATAGCGCTACATTTTTTTAAAATTTCTTGATTTTTTGAATTTCTAAATTTTACAAAATGGTTGTTAATTAAATGTTAACAAAGACTATTATTTTAATTTAATGATCATGACCAGCTGCTATTGGGTTCAAACACAATTACAATTTATTCAATTCCATATTCCGTGTCACAGTGTCAAGAAGAAATGTCAAGTACATACAGTACAATGCAGTACATTTGTTACAGTAGCATCGTAATACAGAAATGTAATTGATATGGCAAGTATATTAGTAGTCTTGTGTGTGTGTTGGGAATGTGGCATAGAAAGTTAGAGCTGAGCCCTGAGTTAAAAGATATCTCTGCACACTCATTTGAGGTTAATAAGATGATAAAATATTAAAATTTTGACGTGAGGTTTGTGAACAAATAAAACAGAAGCTTCCAAGAAAAAAACATGGATATGAAACTAGCTCTCTGAGTCGTTAATAACAATTGCTGATATCGATGCAACAAAAAATTATTGAGGAATGTTATTTAACAGACTGGTGTATCAAAGGGGCAATGATAGTTGGTGACATCATTATTATTAATCTTGGTCGTAGCACCTGTGACATGTGAGGCATTTGGGAGTCAATAATTGTACCTGACATTTTATAGGGGTTTATATAAATATATTATTATAATATTTTATATTATTATTAATATTTTATTTTTTTGGTTAAGAAATGGAATGTGATTGCTTTCAATATGGAACAACGTTACATGCTGTAATGTACAAGTTCATTATCATTGCCATTTGTTGTCTATTCCCAAAACCATTTGCCATATAGAGAGCTACTTCTTTGCCTTCATAAAAGCCATTAATTACAGATTCACCCAAAAATTTAGATCCCAAATTCCTTGTAAGTTGTCATATGTTGTGTACTACATTTCTCACTTCTCAGTGTCATTGAGACAGATGTATATAAATTCTTCCTTTCAAAGGACTATTTCTATTATGTTCTTAATTGAAACTACCTAATTTTTTTGGTGTATTAAACCTGTTATTTTCTCTCAATAGTTTGGAGAAATGGATGCTAGATATGACTGAAGGACCATGTCGAATGAGGAAGAAAATGATGAAGAATGAATTGTTTTATATCCATTATCCTTATCGGCCAGAATTAGAGATGGGAGACAATGTAAGTTGATAAAGGGATGTAAGCTTTTGAGATAAAATGCAATGATCTTTGTAGTACAAACATGATTTTCTTAATAATGTGTCTGTGATAATTGTTTTATAATTTAAATTAATTCCATTAATAAATTGATTTCCCATTTAACAGAGAGCATTGAAATACAAAGTAGCCACAAGCTATGACAGCAAAGAGTTCTATCAGAAATATCGCCCACAAAATTTATTTGAGAGAGAACGTGACTTTATAATTGAAGCTCAATTACCAAGTGAAGATTTATCGGCTGACTTGAGTATACCTGATACAGCAGATGAAGGACGAGAAATTGGTTAGAGCTTCAATTAGTAATAAGTTAAATTTAAAATACTGATAAGTACATGAACTTAAGGTATGAAATAATGTTTTTCTTTGACACTTGAGTTTTGATCATAAAGCAAATTTTTGGATTGGTACTGGTTGTGTCATGCAAAAAACTTATATTTTCTGATTTTTTTATTAGATTATCAAGTACATTTATCTGCTTCTCTTCATCTTTTTTTCCATTAATTATTTCACACTTATTCCATCTTTTTTAAAATTTCCCTTGGATTTCCATTTATTTTGTGTACCCTAATTATAATGTTAATGTAGAAAATTCACCCAATAACATCCACAATAACATTTGAAAAACTGATGTGATTGCTCTCAAATCTCGTGTTTTGACAAGCCATGAAAACCCTAGAAGTGGCTGTGGTCACAAAATTTAACCCAAATTTAGTCTTACTAGAAACCCACAATGTGAGGCGTGGTTGTTTGGCATTACCAAGCAAGGTGGAGTAAGGCCAATTAAGGCAGGGAAGGACAGACCGTAAATAAAAATCTGGACACCAGTGTTATTGCAGCTAGTCTCTTTTTTTCTGCCTTAAATTCATTTTCTGTTTTTATTTACTAAATTAGTTCCACAATTATGTTTGTTTTGAATGTATTGATTTATTACTTGATTTTGCAATCCATACAGGTCCATCTAGTTTCCAAGGTGTGCATTTAGAAAGGCATGGTGTGCATCGCTCCATCTCAGAACCTGAAGATACTGCTGATGATGATGCAACTGATATAGCTGGCTCTGAAGAACAAGCATCTGCTCCTGACAACCAAACTATTCTCCGTCTTTTGGAGGAACAAGAGAAGGTACACAGTACATGATTTTTCTGTATCATTTTAAGGAATGTCTATAGTTTGGAGTGCTTTCTTTGAGGTTGCTTACTGCTCAATATTTTAAAATTTTCATCTGTGTTTTATTTAAAATAAAAATATTTTCACCTTAAGATCTTCTGTAAATGTCTGCTCTCTTTCAGATAAGCCATATGTTCCGTTGTGCTCGAATACAAGGTCTTGATACTACAGAAGGACTCCTTTTGTTTGGAAAAGAGCATTTCTATGTTATTGATGGATTTACTCTGCTGAAGTCCAGGGAAATCCGTGATATTGAATCTCTTCCTGAAAATGCTCATGAGCCTATTCTTCCAAGTCCTGGTAGTCCTCGCCGTTCTCGTGCTATGCGTCAGTGTTCAAAATTTGCCTATGAAGATATTAGGTAAGTAAAAAATTCACTTCTGTTGTGATTTGTTTCTGCATAATACTATTAACAATGAAACAAATGATAAAGTAACTTTTTTAGTGAAGAAAATTATCTTGGCATCATGTACAAATTTCATAGTCTAGATGTATATTTATTGTTTGCTTATTGATTGTTTGTTGGACTATATATATTCAGATTAATTCTTTACCTTTGTGGCAAAATGAATAATTTTTTGTTAATGATCATGCCAAATAAATATTGTTCCAATTTTTTTAGAATGTATTCTCAATTCTCTCAGAATGTATTGTAAACTTCAATACTAATGTTCCTTGAATTATGATAATAATAATTCACATCACCATGTATATGGTTTAGTTTAAATCACCACCTAAATTAGTTTCTTATTGCATTTTCTGTAGGGAAGTCCATAAGAGACGCTACTTGTTGCAACCCATGGCTCTTGAAGTGTTTTCTGGGGATGGCCGTAATTATCTTCTTGCATTTCAAAGAAAGGTTCGAAATAAGGTGTATCAAAAGTGAGTATAAACATGTCCAGAATTTTTATTCAGCTCCAAGATACCTTACCCCTAAAATATCCTACTTATCCCTACAATTTTTTTTTTAGGTTCATGACTTTCGCTACTGCAATTGCTGATAATGCTCAACAATCTGTTGCTGGTCAAAAGCGAACAGCTCATGTGGAACAAGGAGCAGGACTTTTGTCTAATTTAATTGGTGAAACATCAGTCACTCAGAGATGGGTGGTAAGAATCACATGGATTTAGTAGATTAATAATGTGTCTATTTATGTATTAAAATTATGACAGTTTTATTCATAAGAGTTCAATAAACTTATCATTGTAATTTCCTCTTTTCTGCTGGGCTTTCCTCATTCGTGATCAGTTGAATTATTATGCCAGCCCCTCAGTGTTCACCACTCCAGAAGATACCTTTAATTTTCTTCATTGTCCTTCCTATGGATGCATGCCCTCTTCTGAATGATCTCTCCATTATGCTCAATGAATCTAATTAAAATCAACTTCCTGTATCTTTCTTTTAACTTGTGAAATAACTTTATTAATGTTTAAAAATAAGATTAATTTATTTTTATCAATGTTTCCTTTAAGAGTTTGAAAGTTATCTTTTCTATGTTTTTCATGTTTTGAAGACGTTTTTCTTTTTTCAGCGTGGAGAAATATCAAATTTTCAGTATTTAATGCATCTTAACACTCTTGCTGGTCGTTCTTACAATGACTTAATGCAGTATCCTGTATTTCCGTGGATATTGGCTGATTATGATTCAGAAGAACTAGATCTTGTGGATCCAGCTACATTCAGAGATTTTTCACGACCCATGGGTGCTCAAAGTCCAGAACGCTTGGAACAATTCAAGAAAAGGTGTGAAATAAAGCTCTTTGAACAACCTCTTCAGTACTATGTACATTTTTGCGAATACGTTTAGATAAGAATTATATGTGCAAAAATTATGTATTTTATATATAAGGCATATTTATAAGTGGTCATTTGATTATACTTCCTTGTTTAAAGTTTTAAAAAATAATCCTCTCTGTGCAAACAGGGTGATTCAGACGTCATTGCTAATATGCTGGAACCTTATCCCATATGTAATGTACAGACCGATTTTGCCAAAATTGGATACTCTTCATTGTTTAGTTTTGTAAATAAATAACATTAATCTTTGGTCTATGAATTTGTGCTCATATGACATGGGCTATAGCAAGTGAGCTAAGGGCTTCACTTTGCATTAGGCCTCGTCCATTCTCTGGAAAACTCAATTGCTTATACTATCCAAGAAGCTCTGGAAGTGAACACAATGCAAATAGCGTGTGAAGTCAATGCAATGAGGTCCCTCATCTGTCGAAGAATTCATGTAGAGAGATTGACTTTTCAATTTCTTGCATTTGCGCAGTAGAGGCTTAACGTTTTCATTTCTCTATGCATTTCTTGTGCAAATGCAAAGAAACACCAGGAATTTTGTTCTTTGGTTAGGTGAAGCGTTGATTACAAGAACTAGCACAGTTTTCACATGATGGTTTAGGAAAATCTGCATGTTGCAGATAGTGTTGCTCTCCAAGTGATTCTCAGTAAATGTGGCGATTCATATTGTGAATGAATTTATCCTTGGTCCTCACTTCCTACCTGAGCGTTTAAGAGGCATTCAGGATACGAATTTTATAACTCGGTTACTCTCAACATTTTTGGAGCAGGTGTTAATGAAAGACCATGTTTATGCTACTGAAATCGAGGATCAGGATGACTTTTTTTTGCTCTGTATGAGCATGATTAAACATTTATGGAAGAAGAGCGAAATACACATTTGAGTATGGTTGAGAACTTTAAAAAGTCATAATATTACATTATTTAGATAACAATAGTTCATTAAAAGGTTAAAAAATACATTTGAGGAAAATAAAAGAACACAGAAGTATGTAGTTTAGCCAAGACAATTTTAAAAAGGCACAACTCATTTTTTTTCATAAGTTATTTATTTAAAAATGTTGTTGGGGAACTTTTCATCTTTGTATCTGTATATGTTATATTGAGTGTGAGTATATGCTTGCTCCACATGCAGCTGTAGTAGAGCTTAGCAATTTTGAGGACATAATGCTCAATATATTTGTTTAGTTTTAATACATTTGTTTGTTTTTATCTGCTTGTCAGATTAAAATGATTCTTACAAAATAAAATTAGGATTGAAATATGCTTAGATAAATGGAAGCAGGTAGTAAATTTTTAAAGACATGTGTCAGAACAGTGTCAGAAACAATTTGAGAATTGAGACTGATTCACACCATACCAGTAGTAAGAGTTTATTTTTTTACAATTGCAAGTAAATACTTTTATTTTTTAAATTTCTAATCAGCTTAACTAGAATATTGTTTAAGAAGGAATGAAAACTGTATCATATAAAGTCATAGATAATGTTGGAAAATGGATTAATTACCATAGTTTTATACCATACTTTTTATTTTACTTTACATCGTTTGAATTTTAACCTTCAAATCCAACTTCAAAAATGAACTTCAATACAGTACATATTAAAATTATTATTCAATTACAGTTGAAAAAAACATTCAGTAGCACAAAATTACAGTAAAATAGAAGCTTACCTTCTGTATACTTTATAAAATCGTTATTCATAAATTATTTTGTGCATAATTTTATGTGTAATGTTGTCAAATAACTTATAAAGATCTTTATGATGATTGTTTACCAAGCGGTGTTACAATGTAATTCCCAATATCATATCAAGTTAATTTTTTGTGTGCAGGTACAAAGAATGGGATGATCCTCATGGAGAAACTCCTCCTTATCATTATGGAACACATTACTCTTCAGCAATGATTGTGTGCTCATATTTAGTTAGAATGGAGCCTTTTACCCAACATTTTCTCAGACTACAGGTACATACATTACGTTGTGTATTATTTTACGTTATACTATGTGAAAGATATTTCAGTTAGTCTGCCATCACTAATTGCTTGATTGGTTTCTGAAAGCAATATACAGAAAGGTTTATTGACTTCAAACTCTGTGATGACTGATTTTCTCTTTTTTACTCTATTTGTGCACAGGGAGGCCACTTTGATCTTGCTGATAGAATGTTTCATTCTGTGAGAGAAGCTTGGCTTTCTGCTTCGAAACATAATATGGCAGATGTAAAAGAACTTATACCTGAGTTTTTCTACCTTCCCGAGTTCTTGATGAATTCTAATAATTTTGATTTAGGTAATGAGAATATAAATTTTTTTCTATTCTTATGATGTTGTTAATGATATGTTAATTGTTGTGAGTATGTTTTCTATAGGCTGCAAACAGAATGGTGTGCAGCTTGGAGATGTTGTACTCCCACCTTGGGCTAAAGAAGATCCTCGTGAATTTATTCGCATGCACCGCTTGGCTCTAGAGTGCGATTTTGTGTCTCAGCATTTGCACGAATGGATTGATCTCATATTTGGATGTAAGCAACAAGGAGCTGCTGCAGTTGATGCAATCAACGTATTTCATCATCTCTTTTATGAAGGAAATGTGGACATCTACAAGTAAGAATTTTTAAATGTGTACATACATGTACAGAATGTGATTATTTTTAATACATTTTTGTAATTCTGTTATGTTGACATAATGAAATACTCTGTTACTGTGTTGTAAAAATTAGATGTATAAGGCAACAATGATTTTTTGTAGCATTGATGATCCTTTGAAGAAAAATGCAACTATTGGTTTCATCAATAACTTTGGTCAAATTCCTAAACAACTTTTCAAAAAATCTCATCCAGCAAAGAAGATCAGTCATCGTACATCAGTAATTGATCCTGGGCCTATTACTCCAGGCCTAAGTTTTTCAACTGGAGATCGCCTCTTTTTCCATAATTTGGACAACTTACGACCTTCTCTTCAACCAATCAAAGGTATAGAAACATTTTAAAACTTTTATGTGAACATGTTAGAAATTATTGTAAAATAATAGAATGTACTAGTGTCACATCTTTATTTTAGTCTCTTTTTCTGTACTTGTTCTTTTTATAGTGTCCAGTCTTACCAACACCAAATTAAAACCATATTTTGTGATGACGTTAAATGACCAATTTTTAAGAATTGGACACTCTTGATTAGGAGATAAACAAATTTTGCATTTTCTCATGTTAAGGCTTCCATACTTACTCTTGTAAATACATTTTGAATGATACAGACGTCCACCACCCATTACAACATACTGCATTTGAAAACTTAATTTCAGTTGGTAATTAGAATCATATTTGTCACCATCTCTGGGGCTGGATGCTATGTAGAAATATAGCTTATAGTTTATATGAATGTAATTATTGTGTGAATTGAATGAATGAATTGATTCATTCATTGATGAAAGATGAATGAATGAATGAATGAATGAATGTAGTTCTGTGAATGATATGAATGTAAAACTTATCTTAATAACTTCAGAGAGGTGTTGTTGTTGTTGTTGTTGTTGGGTTTTTTCCCCCAGTTATTACAATGAATTGTAGAAAGTTGTAATCATTGTTGGTTAGTGAATACAAATATTTGTTTCAGAGCTGAAATCTCCTGTTGGCCAAATTTTACATACCGAGAAAGGAATTCTTGCAGTAGAACAAAATAAAGTTCTAGTTCCTCCCAATTATAATAAGTATGTTGCTTGGGGTTTTGCTGATCATAGTTTGAGAATTGGCAACTACGATAGCGACAAGGCTGTTTTTGTATGTGAAGCAATGATGCAAAGCAATGGAGAAGTTGTGGCATGTGTTTGCCCTTCTGCAAAACTGATTATTACTGCAGGAACAAGTACAGTAAGTGTCAGATTATTTTGTCTTCTGTCAACTTTCTGTCTAAGTTTGATTCTAGTTCGGGTCTTGTAAAGTTCAAAATTTATTTTATATGCGTCAAAAGTCAGCGATATTACAAAATGTATAGTAGTATTTATTATGCAGAACTCGTCAATGTGTAGAGAGGAAAACAAACTAGTATAAGCAAATACAGTTTGGTTCCACTTATTGAAAACCATAATACCTGTACTAAAGCTATATATGATGAGGAATTTCAGGTGTATAAATGAGCTACATTATATAACTCTAATTGTTACCAATATATATTAAACATTTAATCCCCAGAGGTGTGGAACACATTTTGAATCCTTTGTGAATTTTGTCACAGTCTGTATCCCAGCATCATCACAGAGCGAACTGCATCTGTGTCAGATGGATAGGCCACCTACAATCGTGCTAATTGAAAGTCATACTTAGCACCTCAATTTCATTAATTTATAAACTTATTTTTTTCATCATTTATATTTGTGCAAAGTAGATTTTATTTTTTTATTACTACTTAGAAGTATACTTAGTAATAAGACTCCATTATGTACAATCTTCTAGACATGGAACAAGAAAATTCATCCAGAAGCTGTTGTGCAATATGATGCATTTGTCAGAAAAAGGGCAGATGGAATGGTTTACTCACTTTATTGTGGTGAATATTCTAGTTCGTTTTTTACAATCTGAAATGACTTGCCCTATAAAAAATAAATTCATGTTTGGAAATATAAGAGATTTGTTTTTCTTTTATACAATTATTGGTGCATGTTTCAATCTTCATATATAAAAAAATAAGAACTAGAAATAACAATCGAAACCAAATTTTCTATGTGTACTCTGATTTACTTGTAGTAGTATTTTACATCAATCAGCTGTTATGATGTCATCCAATTTGGAGCTTGAACATCATTGTGGTGCGTCACTACAAATAAATCAAAGTATAGAACTTACCATTTTATGTCTAAAAATGAGTATCTAATCACATTTTCTCATTTTAGATCTTGCCAATGATGTACCATTTTAATTTACATGGCTATTGCTTTTGGGGCTACTTAACAGTGGTTGAAATAATTTTTCTAGAAGTTTCTTCTTCAACTGTAGCCAAAATCTTCAATGGCAGGGGTGTGACACCATTCTGCCTGATTGCACATGTGATATGTCGATAGAGTGAGGAGGAATCGTCACCTCATGTTTTTGTGCTTCCAGTGTCGTATGGATGGAGCTCATCATGCAATAGATAGCTATTTCTGTAATGCATACCTATGTTAAAGGATCTAGTGATACTATAACAAATTAACTTTCTCTTATTATTTGTAAAAGATTAGTAATATAATAATACTAGCTGGACCTGTGTGAATCTCCAAACTTTGAAAATCATTGTTTTAAAAGCAGAAGTAGCTTCATACTGGATCCTAACTTTGAATGGTCAGTTCCTGAACTGTGTGTTACATTAGACATCCAGTATTGAGCATGAGTAATTATTATAATAATGCTAACTGTTGATATTAAAATTCACAGAAAATCAAATAGTCAATTAAGTTTTACTGGAGAATATTTCTTTCGCATCCCTTAACTTTGAGTTGAGCTACTGCTCATATCTGATCACTAGACCTTGGAATTTTAGGCACTAAAAAGTGATGATTAAGATACCTAAAATATGTGACAAAATTATGACATTAGGCACTATCAGACATGATAAATGATGTTTTGGGCAACTAAAATAGGTTAAAAAAGTGTTAAGTAAGGTATTTAAAAACATTTCATGAAAAGTTATGTATCTGGCATCGAAAACTGATCACAAAAGGATTAAATAGTCATGTTTAGTAGCTATGCACATTATTTTATTCACTTTCATAATTAGAAGCACAGTATATTCTTCAAATTTTGTGCAGAAAGGCTTATCTGTTAAAATTATTTTGAAAACTGAAATGACCATTTCAATGACACAGACGTTATAGGTTCGAACTTAAATTTATTACAATTTCTCATGCTCTTTTTTCTGGAACCTGCCCATCCTTCCCACCAAAACCTGTACCATACAGCCTGTTACAGCATTTTTGTATTACACTGTCTTATAAATAAGTTCCCCATATATCTGACAGTATTGATTTTTTTTACTTCATCACCATTCTTACTAAGTTCGTGGTTGCCCAAAGTAAAGCAAAGAATCTGTGAAATAGTGATGGATTTCAAGAAATAGAAAACGTTTTCAAATCAATGTTTGGACTGTATCAAGAATGTCCTCTTGAAGGGTATTTCCTGCATTATTAAGTGAATACATTTTGAATCTTACATGTTAAAATGCATCTATGTTAATAAAAAATTGTATTTCTTGAAATTAAAATGCAAGTTTGACTTTCACAAATTTCTCTTATGTAAACACTTTTAATTAAAATTTAATTGAATAAAAAAACATCTAGTGTACTAAAAGTTTTGATTTATAGTTGTCCAGCATGTGAAGTTGAATCTGTATACAAAATATTTTACAGTATTCTCAAGATCTTTCTATTGTGAATGTTGGGATGAAAATGGAAGATCAGATTCACAAATGAAACTAGTGTTGGTGATTTCGTGGATGAAATACTGAATTGTGTTCATATCACGTACATTGCAAGTGTGATAGCATTAGTTGTTTTATTAATCATTCAGTCATTTACACATGTGTATTGTTTTAGGTGGTAACAATATGGGAGTATAATAGAAAACACCTCAGCATCAAACAATGTCTATATGGCCATACAGATGCTGTTACATGTTTGTCAGCTAGTCCTGCTTACAATGTCATTGTATCTGGATCTCGTGATGCAACAGCAATTATTTGGGATTTATCACGTCGAATTTTTGTGAGGCAGTTACGAGGACATGCTGCTCCAGTAGCTGCAGTGGCTATCAATGAACTAACGGTATGTTTCTTCATTCTTTAATTTACTCACCAACTACCACAAGCTTGTCTAGTCACAATTATCAATATAAATGTATTAATCCTACTCATTGCAAAATTTCTTTGCCTGCCACTATTGGCCTGCAACATTTTTGTAGTTGTCCCTCCCCCTCTTACTCTTCCTCAATGAAGCCCAGATTGGAAAATGTAATGTTCATGAGGAATAAATGTTTGTCAAAGTAATTTTTGCTTTAAGGAAGATTAAAAATACAGAGTATTTTTTCCTGAAAGAAGTATGCATGTGAAATTCAAATATTCTCATGAAACTTTCCTCTACTCCTTTGTTTTCTAGCAATTGGTGTTTTGTTTTCAAATGTAATAAAGTTAAGTATAAAAATAACTTTTTCACTTGTTTCCATATTTACAAATATATTTCATTTCTTCCTGTATTATACTTTTTTACAATAATCAGTCTTGAGACAAAAACTTGGTACTTTGTGTTTGCTTCTCAACCTGTGGGATGCGAATGCGACTTGAGGAAAGACAGATTGTCACTTAACATTTTTGTGTTTACAGCAGAATGGAACCTGAAATTGTTCGATAGATTGCTATTTCTGTGTTACATACCTATATTATGGTACTAAAACATAGTACTTTTTGAATTATTTGAATGTATAAGTAGTATAATATTACACTTGCGGTCATTTAATTCATGATCCCTCTTGAATATACTCTCTTTGACCAAAATTGAGAGTGTGGAAAAGAAAGAAAGAAAATCTTTAATTTTTGAAATTCAAAAGTTTGTATGTTGACAAGCTTCAGTTGTATTTGGTTCATCCTTATAAAAAATGTACTTCCCACAAATTATTGTACCTTACAAAATGATGTCAACACTGTAGATAACTGGTCAAAAATCTGGTTACTACCTTAAAATCCCAGCAAATGTATTGTCCTTCGTTTAGGCAAGAACAACTCTACATAAAGCTGTAATATGGGAAATCATACTGTAGAAACAACTTAGCAAAATGACCTAGTAGTACTAGTCACAAATGCATTGAAATGGGAAAGACAAATCACAGCTGTCACCAAATGAGCTAATAGTATATTGTATCTTTGTAAAAAGCCTTTTCCATCCACTACTCATTTGAAACTCCACCATTTTTTGGGGTTAGTACATACACTTGAGTAAGTGGATAAGATATGGTCTCTATATGTATCAAAAAGTCATCAAACACCTAGAAAGGGAGCAGTAAAAGGTCAGAAAAATTCTCAGAAACTATAGACAGCTTCAATATGAAGACAGATGTCAGAAAATGTTATTACTCACTTTTAGAGAAGCATTAAAGCTGATGACAAAGAAAATTCAACCACAAGTGTTCACCGTTTACAAGATCCATGCAAACCAGAGGATGCAACATTGAAAGTAAGGAACAAGAGAATCAAAACTAGACAACAATGCTTCTTATTGCCAGTCATGGCAGTCAATTTCAAACAAACAGTATGCAAGTAAAGTTAGGATTCAGTTCATAAAAGAATTGTCATCAAAGTTCAGAATCTGTTCTTGTTTCTTATCAGCTTAATAACTAATAGTCTTCATAAGCAATTCAGTCCTCTAATTTTCTTCTGAGTTTTGGGAAGGGGCAAGCATGTGTGGTTTTACTGTCTCCCCACATGGGTTGTCTTGGCACAATCACTGATACAATTCTAAAGGGGGATTCAGTTTTCTGGTTTTCCTCAGAGTTTTGGAAACAGGAAGACATTTGTGATTTCCCTTCTGCAGTTTACCACTCTACATTAATGAAAATTTAATGAATTAATTACCAATGACTGATGACTTGTCAATTGTAAACTTCTCTGTGATTGGTCAAACATCTGTACTACAATGAAGCATCATAATAACAATCATTATGCAACAAGCTGCTGCCACTTATTGAAAATTCTACAATGGGAGTAGAAAAAAAAATACATAAATACAGTAAGCAAGTAGTATAGATGATAACTGTCTGAGGTGGAATTGATCAACACCACAAAAAAAAAAAAAAAAAAAAAAATCGGTTTAGAGGTGGTCCCTTTTATGCAGGGTTGTACATTTTATTATGTATGTGATATTGATATTTCTGTCCTGTAACTAGTAAATTAAAATAAGTAATTAAGTAACAGTAGTAAGTAGTAATTAACTACAGTAAAAATTACATACTTTTATTGTGATTATTAAAATACTTTTACACATAAAGTATTTTGAGAAGAAATTACCAATAAATGAATATTAAACATTCTTCATTGACAACTTCTGAGTTTCTCTTGCTTCTGATGTAAGTTTCACCCTTTCATCTGAGGTTGGAGTTTTTTGGTTTTATCCAACTATTGTTAAACTGGTTGTGAAACTCATAAAGATACCTACCTTTGTGCTGCCTAGTAGCTGCTCACAGTTCTATGACTTCCTACTTCCTTTTATGTTTGTACAATTTTCAACGCAGGGCAGGGAGACATGTGAATAGATGCCATACCTTCCCACACTCTGAGAGTCAGGAGGGAGGGAATTACCCTTCAGCCTACTCCTTGAGAGACAAGGGACCCCCAACTTTGAATTCTACGGTGACTGCTGAAGCCCCTATCCTGCACATTGCAGCCTACTAAATTGCATGTCACAGGGATAGAGAATTAAAAAACCTGGCAGATGCATTCATTTCATTAAGAATATTTCACATCTCTAATTGTATTAAATTCACAAAAATTCTGTTTTATAATGTTTTTTCTTCTTTAGGACATGAAAAACCGTTCCTTGTTTGCGTTGGACAGGTTCTGTTTTATGCTGTGTAAAATGCTATATAACTTAAAGTGCCTGAGACATTTTCCAGTGAAGGCAGGTTTCCAGCATGTTCAGGTTTCGGTTGAGACAGATTTTACTGTATATGTGAAGTGTACAATCATGAAATAATTTACACGCTACATCATTTAATGTTACGTCAGATTAAAAATAATAAATGGTTGAGACTGCATTGCAACATGGCGTTCTATAGTCACCATTGGTAGTGTGGGCATATTTGAATTGCTTATGTTTGAGACCCTGCAAGTCAGGAATTGTGACTTGTGGGAAAACAAAATAAACTGAATAAGAACACAGAGAATGTGTTGTATTTTTAATTTTTATTATTATTATTATTATTATTATTATTATTAGTATTATTATTATTATTATTATTATTATTATTATTATTATTATTATTATTATTATTACTATTCTTTTTTCCCCTTCGAATCATCAATCTTGATTGAGAATGCCATGGAGACGTGTATCAATAGTAAAATAGTTGCTGGACTTCAACTTTTATGACTTATGGGATTTCAAAAACTAATCAAGAATTCTTTGTAATTTGACACATTTCTTGCAATATTATGTGAAAAGACAATGTGCATCTACACCGAACATGATTCATATGACAGGAAAAGTTGCTTGAAATATGTGTTTTAATCATAGGACATAGGAATATTTCCATATTGAACATCCTTTTTAACCAATCTCTCTGTCAGTGATATCCCAATCATACACACTATTCCAGAATTGTTGAATTTCCTCTTTATTGGGTATCATTTCAATTGTTTCAAATCTTCCATTTTCTTGCCATTCATTGACAGATTCTGTTTGTATGTTCTTTTCTGGCACCACTATGGTACAGGGTGGCAAAAGAAGCCGGAAGTTGTAGTTCACAAAACCATTGATAGTCTGGGTAGCTTTAATTATACCTAAATTGTCCCTAGAGTGGATAAAATTATTAATCTGACACCAGAAGTCTTTTTTTCTGATCTTGAGGCACTCCCTTCCCACGAGATTCAATGAATAGGACAGTCTTCTTGAGCAGTGGAGGTCACTGCGTTTTGAAGTTGACAATGTCATTATAGTCTACAACAGTAACTAAAAATGTACATTTCTTAGAACAGTTGATAATATGTGATATATACTCCATCGGGGTGTAAATCATAAATCTTCTTGACAACAGAAAAATCCCTATCGCAGGGAAGAAAGGAGAGATACCGTACTCAGAAGTATTTATAGATTAAAATCTATCCTTGACCAATGCATGACACATTTGTGTCTCGGATCTCACTACTGTATTGCTTTTCTTTTGGGCACTACACTCATCTGAGAAGGTGTGCAAGTGTTGCACATGGTCAGGAATGCCTCAATCTCCCTTTTATTTTGTCGTGCACATTGCACTTATTATGAAATATTGAAATTTTGTTATGTTGCCTAAGATACTTTAATTAACAATGACATTTTAAAGAATGTAATTGTTTTAAAATGTTTTACGTGTACTAACCAAAAACAAGCACTGGGGTATATTTGCACCCCACTTTGTATTCCATGACACAAATTTGTATACCAATGGATCATTTTGAAAATTGTACTTTTTGGATTGGCACATCAATCTTTCAATTCAAATGAAAGTGGCATAATTGAAACACCTGCAAGTTTCCAGTTACGCATTTGAATCATTGTGATGGTGTATCTAAACTAGTGAATGAGTGTTCCTAGTTTGTGTATTTTTGCATTGCAAATGACACTGTGGAGACAAATGACATTGGATAAAATGTTAAAAGAGAAAATTTATGTTGGACATGGGGCAAGAACTTATCAAATCTTAAGTTGAAGAGAGACTGAAAAAAGTATGAATTGATAGGTAATACAATGTATGGACTGCAATGAAATGTTTGCTCAGGAGGAAGTGGCAAGCTCTGTACTCTCTGAGTGTTTGTCTAAGTTGGAAGATGTGTGCTCTGTGCAAGGAACAGAAACAAAATTAGGGTATTAATCTTAAAAGAGGTATTCTGATGAAGTGTCATGATCTACTAAAAGAGAAACATAGTAATAAAAGTTTATTAATTCTATTAATATGTCTTTTATTACGTATTAACTGGTCAAAATAGTCAAAATGTTCATAAGTGAGTTAGTTACATCCTATTTCAAAGCAATCTTGCATAATATTCAAGTGGGGTATACATGTACCCCACTTGGTATTTGGCATTAAAATTAGAACTAGGTAGGCAGAGGGTTAAAGTAGTCATTTTAAAATGAACAAACCTCATTTAGTCCTTTAGTACCAACTACTTCAGGGTAACAAGAAATGATGTTATATTATCTCTTAAATTGTGAATACAAAGAACATTGACAAGTCTGAGATAAAATGTTTCTTGCACTTGAATCATGGACAATTGAAGATCTTGCTTGTAATTTATGTATATAATCTAGTGGTGAATCATATCATTATATTAAAAAAAACCTTGCAAATCAATGAGTTTCAAAACAAACCAAAACTTGCAGGTCATTCTCTTCATCTGACTTATGGGATTTACACAAGCATCTATGCTGCTGCTTCTGTTTTCCCACAAGCCAAAATGCAAGAATGAGTGACTTACAGGGTTTTTAAAAATAACACCTTCGTTTAGGTTTTAATCCTAATGACTGAAAGGACCTAAAATGTGAAAAGAAACTAAAGAGGAAGGGAAAAAAGAGGCAATTGTAATTTGTTAACATTGTTGAATAAACAAATTTATATCTTTTATCAATATCATTTACAAATTTGAAACTTTTTTGAAGACATACTCTTATATTGATTTGTGATTATTTTTGTGTAGGGAGACATTGCTACCTGTGCTGGAACATGGCTGCATATTTGGAGCATAAATGGGAATGAATTAGCTAGCGTGAACACTTGTGTTGGTCGAGCAGACAGAATGCAACAAATATTGTGTGTTGCCTTCTCACAGACTCATGAATGGGATTCTCAAAATGTGGTCATGACTGGATCAACAGATGGAGTAGCTCGAGTAAGTTTTTACTGTTAAAAATAGATTTTCTTTGTGTGACTAGAATTGAGGACCAACATTATTTTTGCAAATGTGTGTGATGGTGTATTATTTTTTAAAAATAAGTTAAATTTAATATACTTTAATATTACCCATATGTTTCTACCAAATTTAAGAAATCGGATTTAAAATGGGGTCAGATGTTAAACTTGCAAACATATAGAAATTATGTGACCGAAAAGCTATAATACTACATCTTTTCTAAAACTGGATGTTTGAATCTATGTTGATCAAGTTATCAGTTATCTATGTTCATCAAGTATCAGAGATCTGTTAGTATCCTCAGCGATGTTGCTTAAGTATTTGTGAGTCTATTACCTCAATCAATGTTGACTAATCTTCTATTTACCGGTGATATTCAAAGACTATTATGCTTGAATTATTTCGAGTTGCCCTTGACATACATCAGCTGTTATGATGTCATCCAATTTATAGCTTACACATCACTACAGTGACGTTCAACCTTCCAATTGGATAACACCGTAGCAGCTGATTTACCTCACGTGCAGCTCTAAATAAATCCAAGTAAAGATTATGGTAAATAAGTAAATGTCATGTATACTGACTTTGCATAAGCCATTGATGGTGTTAATGTAAATTAACTTCTCAACAAAATTCAGAAGATTGGTATAACTGATATCCCACTTAACCAGTTTCGTAGTTACTTAAGGGCTCAAGCGTTTCACAAGAATCATACCATAGTCCTATAACTTTTTTCTATGTATCAATGATGTACAGTTGATTTTCCAAAATTAATTTTCATCAAATTCATTGATTGGTAATGATATTTTGGAAAGTAATAAATAATGAAGAAGACTCTATTGTGATTCACTCTAATATTGGCAATTTGCATAAATTGTTTAATAATAATATTCTTGTTCTCAAAATATCCAAATCCAAATCTTCTTCTAAAAATCTATTGTCATAGTAATACAAATCCTGTGTTTTACAATTATTTCATTATCTATCAACTACTAGAAACAGACCAAAAGTTTAAAGATTTGGGAATATTGAGGAATCAAAGTCTGATTTTTGGAGATTGTGTAGAAAAAACAATGAAAACAACGAACAGTGAAGCACTGAAAATACTGTCGTTTATATAAAGGGCAACTTATATATTCAGTACCTTAGACACAATTCTTATGCTATATAAAGCATTAGTAAAATCTGTTTTAAAATATTGGTGAGAGAGTGCAGCATATATTTTTTCATTCTTAGCTCATAAAGCAAAATTTCAAAATCATACAATTACACACAAATTAACATGATTGCAAATGTAACAAAAATTCCTGCGATTCAACCAGTAAGAAAACTACATGATAAACCTTTTGTATTTAAACTTACAAAAGCTGATATTAAAAGTTGATTTATTCCCAAAATTTGGATTCTATGATTGTTGATATACATCTTTTCTAGAATTGGGTGATTGAATCTAATGTTGATAATTTCAGATCTAAACGCAAAACATTTTATTTGATGTTTTCTCTTGTAACTCGAACATCTATAATATCTCACTTATTCTGAGACTCCCAAGGTTATTCTGGTCTACAAAATTTTCATTTATTTGGCTGATCTTTGTAGGAAATATTGTAAAAACACATTATATTCCATTTTGAGTAATTAATTTTGCTTCAAATTTTCAATCTTTTTTGAGGTTGTCTTAAAATATATTGTCTAGGATTGGTACAGGCAAAAAAAAAAACAACTATTGAGTAACATTTTATAGAAAACAAGTGATAATACAACTGTACATACTTTTGCATTAGGCTTGGAATTTTAATTCATTTAAAGCTAATACATCAACATACATTTGACAATTGAAAACACTGTTCCATTTACTCAGAAACACAGCCCTACAGTGAAAAGTTATTCTGAGGATTTCAAACTGCCTTGTCACAGTTCCTGATAGATTCTAACCAAAACAGTGCTAACAGGAAATTCGAAATTGCAATTTAGAAAAGAGCAAAAATTGGGCAAAACTGTTCATATACAAATTTCAATTTACAATTTTTTAAAATATCTAGAGCACTGAAAATGGGACCAGCTCCACTTTCTTTACTGCCCTTTGATGCATGCAAGGAAAAAATTTAAAACCTTTTTTTTAATTATTATTTCAAATTTGTGTATGTTTCATGCAAAATTCCTCAAGAACTCATATTTTCAAAAAATTATACGTGGCCTTATTTTAAGATCTGTCTCTGAACTACAGATTCAGGGAGGGAATCTCTTTTGAATATTGTAGTTTTGGGAAGATGCTGAAAGTTATTTACTCTTCCCCATCCCATGGAAATTGGAGACATTTTTGAGAACATTTTGCAAACATTGAGGCTTTATGTAAAGTACCCTTAAAAATCAAGTTTGGTCTTGAGTTCGTTCAGATCAATCTAGGAATGTCAGTTTTGGAGAAAATCGTAAAAATGATTGATTATTGTAACCAGGGCCCAGCAATAAGAGTTTTTCTGTGAAAAAAATCACCAATCACACAAGCACAATTCAATACCTTCTTTATACCACATAAGGAGGATGTATAAAAGTAACATTGTTAATATTGGCACTCATTAGACAATAAAATAAGGGTTTGTGGAACATATTGAAATCTAATGACCAATTCCAGTTATTGACAGATCTTCACTGAGGAGAATAGGTTGAGTCTCTGAAGGTATTTTGGCATGCTTTAAAGAGTGCATTACTTTTCTTAAAATACAGTCCAAATGTAATCTTAGTCCAAAAGTTAACTGCCTTTTGCATGTAACTCAACAGATGTCAGGGGCTGAAATCTTGTGCTGATCTGATAGCTAAGCGTATTATTTATATTTTTCTTATGAATTAACAATAAAAATTAAATGAACATTAACACTACAAATGCTTAATGACATTTCTAAAAATAACTTAACTCACAACTTGATAGTAGTCTACCTACAGATGTGTTCAAATTATTAGACTAAAACATGTATTTTTAATGTTCCTTAGTTCTATGAAATAAAAATTGGAAAGAAACGCTGAATACCTTATTGTTACGCACACTAAGTATTAAATGTATGAATGTCACATGTGCACAGATGCAAACCTGCAATAAATTAAAATATTTTACAAAAACTGTCTTTAATCTAATCATTTAAACTTGTGTGTATATCTTCAAAACTGTATATGATAAAAAATCTTGATAGCAGGGTTGGGATTCTCATTTGAAAATGGTATAGAATCCAATGAATGTTCGCCTGTAGCAAAACGGGTTGACCAGTGTTATCAAATAGGTAACTCAATGATCTAAATTTTTCATACTTTTTGTACACCATCTCAAATTAGGCAAAAAGAAGTGTAATTGAATTTGACTAACTTTGCCCAGAAAGGTTCTGTATTATCTGTGTTAATATTTTTATTAGAACAAATTTAATGAATTACAAACCATATGACATGAATATGTTGACATACTATGTTTATTGTATTGTGCTAATAATTAGTTAACAAGTACTTGTAAAATATAATATTAAGTTATGTATAAATAATAAAATGGAAATAAAATTTAATTCCAAAATCAAAAAGGATGAATTGGTGAAGGGTTTTGAGAGTATTGTTTAATAATTGTCTATAATTTTTGTGCCATTTGTATTTTGACTTTAAATTGTTTCAAATAGTGTTCACATGGAAATTTCTTTCTTTTTTAGATGTGGTCAGTAGATTACGTTCAAGTACCTAAAGAAGATAAACCAATACTGAAAGAGAAAACTGAAAGTGATGCGGAGTCTGATATTGGTAGTGCAAATACTATCATGGAAACAGAAAAACAAAGTAAAGAGACAGCTTCAACAAATGAGCCTTGTCCTAAACAAAGAGTTCAAGACATGGTGAAACAAATGAGTATATCTGCTGAATTTTCAACAACTCCTTCAGGTTATTAACTGCTTTGATATTCGCATTGGTGTCTTGAAAAATTAATTGTAAATTTGCATTTTATGTAATCATTTTATGTAATCATATGTATCTGTAAATCCATATACCATAACTGGTCGAAATAATCAAACATACCCGGTTGTGCTTGTGATATGAAGGCCATTTTCAATCCCTTGGGTACAACCTTCAAACGCTGATCCCTCTCAAATCCATAGGCATTACCCAATAACATGGAGTGCTCGGCACAAAGGTTTTAAGGACTTCTGTGGGATAACACAATTAAGGAACCTGGCTCCCTAATCTCATGAAAAAGTACAAGCATGGCCCTTGGGCAGTAAAGTAAATATGAAAGAAGATTCTGCATGACATTTGAATGCTTTGTAATGAGTGGAATAATATATAAGGGAAGTAATATAAGAAAGCAGTAGTAACCATAGGGGACACTGAAAAAACCACATGCAGATAAAATGGTAACCAGGGAGGGGGCTAAGCAAAAGTCGTCAAAAGGAAAGTCCAACTATAAAGAAAGAAACACTGAAACAAGTTCAATCTATAAGAATTATGAAGATCTACATTCTCTTTAACATTTTTTTAAAAGTTTAAAAACCTATAAGATTTTCTAATTCTTAACCTTTGATCATGTCTCTGGAAATATTATATTACCACTTCTTTGCAGAGATATAGAAAGAAAAGACATAAGATCCTAATGTATTAGAGATTCAGCTGCCCCGTGCTACCTGGAATCCAGGTGCGATGGGACAGTCGACAATACTTTAAGAAATTATTGCATGGTAGAAATCTAGCAGAGTTTAAAACTTTTCTGTATATTTAACTTCTAGGCTGAATCCATTGATATCCAGCAGTGCAGTAATTGGCCATTTGTAGCAGTCCAAATGAACCTGAACTCTAAAATTGTTCAAATTTTTTTCATCCTTCCCTAACAACATATAGTTGTTTAGATTAATATATTTTGTAATGTCTTTTTATTGATAGAATTGCGAATAAAATCATTTTTGTTTATTTAATTTTAGGTTTACTGAATAAAAGTGGCTCAGAAAGTAGTCTTTCAGAAGATGATGCTAAAGAAGAAGCAGAAGGAAGTAAGAAAGAAATTGAAGCAGCTGCCGAAGAAAAGGAAACATGCAGTGATGAAGATAGAGAAGAAAAAATCAGTTGCTCAGGTAGCATTAGTGAACAAGACAAACATGAGAAAAGCACAAAACGTTCTTTGCATCATCATTCAGGGAAAGGTGATTTGCATCGACAAGAAGCTGTGACAAGTTCAAGTACCGAAACACAAGATTCACCTGCTCACTCACCTGTTGTGTTACGTCGCAAGTCTTCCACTCGCGTCAACCCAGCATTTCGCAAAAGTGAGGGTAGTTGTTTTCCAATTACTGTTGAGGGTGTTCATTCCAGAAGTCGGGCTGAAAGTGAAGGTGGTCCACCTCCTGGACTGAGTCTTGAAGGAGAATCTCTGGGAGGCAGTGGTATAGCAGCTGTTATGGAGGATACTGCTGCTCGAATCAGAACTAGCAAAAGTGACACCAGTCTTACAGATTCTTTTGTTATGGTAAATGAGTCGGATGTTGCAGAAGGTCCAATCTCATCACGAACAAAAGATGATGTGGTTAGTGCTGTTCGTAGAAAGCGACGAAATCCGCAAAATATACTCAGAGAAGGTAGGTTATTGCTCTTCATCTTAAGTGCATTGGCATATTCAGCACAAATTTTAAAACTATTTTTTTATGAGAAATCAAGTCGTCTGGAAACCACACTTACAACCCTCTCCCCTTTTGAAAAATCCTGGTAATGCCAGAGTATTCATGCATACAGTGTTAATGACACATACATTTTTATTGATATGTGAAGATTGTAATATATTTAAAGGAATAGGCTGGAATTATTTGATTAAAACTTCTTCTTATATTAAAAATTCTTGAGAGATTGGTGTGGCATTCCTGTGTCACATGTCAGACATGACACACTTCCTGAGTGTCAAAAGTTTTTTAATTTAAATTGTACACACAATTTATTTATCTTCACCAAATTATTTTTAACAAATTTTCCAAAAGTATATGTGAACTTATAAGACAACTTGTACAGAAAATAGGGATGCAATATGATATTCATTAGTGAGCTGAATTGAATAATTTTGTGTTAAGAACTCAGTAGCGACTTCAAAATTCCAAGCCTGAATGAAAAGTAATCCACTTCTTCACTAACCATCAGCTGACAAGTTCACAGAAGTTTTAACGGAAGTGTAATTTGTTAAAAATGAAGGTTTTTCTATCTCATTTCACTATATCTTCTTCTCTCTCTCTCTTTTTTTAATTATTAAAAATAAAAAAAAAATTAATTCTCTTTTCTGGAAAAAGTACATTTCGAAGACTTCACAATTTGTTGTCCATGCATGGATTTTGAATGCTTTTCTTTTAAAAACATTTCAAATAGTTTTAAGTAAAAATATTTAAAATATTGTTATTGTGAGTAAATTCTTTGCTTATTAATATTCTTTAGTGAAAAAAATGTGGTCTTTGTGAAGTTCATATTGTCTGACTTATCTGGTGGTTTTCAGGATTCAAATGGCAGCGTCAGTTGGTGTTTAGAAGTAAATTAACTATGCACACTGCTTATGATCGTAAGGACAATGCTGAACCTGCCTCTATTACAGCTCTAGCTGTATCCAGGTAAATATATTCTGAACTGCCTAACACTGATTTTCTAGTTTAATTTATAGTTTTTAAACATAATCAATTGAAAAGTCAATGTAATATTCAGTATTTTTTTATTAATTATTCAATTATTTATTAAAACCGATCAGTTAAGAATACAGTAAATCACCATTATTTACTTCTTATATCACTGGTCTACAAAAGTAAACTTTTTCTACCACAAGAACTTTATTGGCTGATCTTTATTGAAAATTTTGTGCAGAAAAAAAGCCATTCATCTCTTATACAAAATTTTTACTTGTTCCAGGTAAGTAAATTTTTTAATTGTAGTATTTACTCTAAAGAAATTAAACATGGTTAACGGTCTTAATTGTTTATGCCCTTGATTACTTTGAGTCTATTGGTTCTCTTGACAATCCAGCAGTAGTAATCTGTGTACATACTTGAGGTTCACTGCTGTTTGTACTTTTCCTATGAATGAAGTATTCTGATGAAAGCACGCTCTGTATTTGTGACTTACAGCCCTTGGGTTTTTGGGAAAGAATTCCAAGTGAGTGTGAAGGATGTGAATATTAAAGAAATACATTGTAGTATGAATTTTCTTATGATTTCAACCACAGCATTCCCTGTAATTGTCAGATTTCTCGTTGCTTTAAAAGTGTTTCTCCAAATTCTAGAAGGAAATTCATACCCATTTTGTAAATCATTTAACCTTCCTACAAAATTTGCTTCTTTACTGGTCATGTTATTAATGGTGTGATAAAAATTCCTTCTTTTATTGTTGCATCACTTATTTTTGGAAACTTTTCTCTCATCTTCAAAATGCACATTCCATATCTGCCCATCGCTTTCACAAAATTCATCTTAACTAATTTGAAATGATAATAAGGGGGGAAATTTTTATCTCAATGAGGACAGTAATAACATTTCTTAACCTCATGTGAAAGATTTTCATAAAGCCTTTGAGGACTTTTTGATGTAGCTTCTATGATCCATAATATTCCACTTGCACTAAAAATTCCCAAACTCTCTGTATTCAATTTGTAAACCAAAAATCAGAGCCACATCGTAAAATCTTTACATACGTTCCAGATAACTTTTTCATATTGAATATTTTTTTAAAATACTGTCACAATTCTGTAAGTTTCTTTCATATTAACAGCTTTACCAAGTGAAACTGTTATTCTTATTCATTCTTATCAATTGAGAAGTTAAAGATGATAGCTTTTAAGCCAACTTCTGATGAATCAATAAACAAATGCCCCTGGCATTTGAGCATGTTTGAGAATGCGTAAATTAAATTTAAATTTTATTTTTATTTATTTACCTTCAACTTTTACTCAATCTTCAGCTACTTATAGTTTAAAAAATGGGAAAGGATTCTGGAACTCAGGAAAACGTGTGCAGATGATCTCCCCCAAACGTCACATACAGTTTTTACTGCTTCCTTAAATTAATTTAAATCCAAAGTAAGACCTGTCAAAGACGGACCCTTTGAAAGAGAAAAACTTGCCATCCCGGACAACGAATTTCAGAACGGAACGATTTTATTCGTGAAAATGACTGTAAGCCGGGAACCTGTTTAACGCGGAAGCGGGAAGGTTTTTAGAGAACGTGAATTATTACCTGGCTTAGAAGGAGATTTATTTTTAAATTGCCGGCAGTTTTTGGAATGGTGCGAAGTGTCACGTCCAGATACAGTAATGTGAATGACGAGTTTTACACCTTTTATCTGCTTCAGGGAATTCGGCGACTGTTTCGCTTCGAATTTCTCACGCTTTGGCGTGATTTTCTAAGTCTAAACAAACGCGTCTTTGTTGCTGTCGCTCCGAATTCTTAATGTTGGTCATTCGCATCCCGTTCAATTCTCAAAAGCGTCACATCGTTTCCTCGAGACATAATGGAATTCTGGGAAGGGTGGCTTGTCATTCTAGTGTAGCAGTCGTAGAGTTGGCGAGCTGCATACCACACAATTTAGTGAATGCTCGCAGTATAGTGCAGGAAAGCTGTGTGCTTGTCAAAATGTATTTTCAGTGTACAAGTAAAACCCTACCTCCACAGAAGTAAATGTGGGATAAATGATTTCCTGCATTTTCCCTCCCTGTGTTTCGCTGTTGATTTTTCATTTTCTGCAATGTTTTCATTGTTAAATTATGCTTTATTTTATTTCCCTAACAAAATAGACAAGTTTTACTATAATAAAAAGTCATAAAGCTAATTACATAAAGAATATAAAATGCGTAGCAATACAAATAACTGTCTCAACGAGTATCAGATAATTATATAAAAGTAGTAAATATACTCATTTAATTAAATCATAGCATTAAGAACCTGATCGATGCCGTGGATTTTTAAAGGCGAAAAAATCCTTCATACCGCCTTCCTTCGGAGGGGCTGTCCCATGTTAGTAGATTTACTTGCATGTAAAAGATCCTCAAGCCTAAATGACGCCTCTGAGCTAAATTCAAATCGGGCTGTTTCGTCGCCCAAAAATACCTCCTTTTTCCGCTAGTTGCATGGTCAGACAGAAAAGCGGGCCTGATGGCTTGAGTCTCGCCACGTAAAATAAGGCATTAATTCAATTCAAAGATGGTCGATACTTTGGATCGGAAAATAAAATGAAGTTTAAACCAACTAAATAAACTTTTACAGTCATGATTTTAAAAAAATCCTGTCAGCATAGTAATTGGCGGTTTTAGAGCATTCTATTAAAGATATAATAGTTGTTGAAGATGCATCGAGGTATAGATTCTCGTTCTCATCTGAGGGGTGTGAAGAGAGATAAGAGAAAGAAGCTGACGGCAATTCATGAGATCATGTAGTATTTTATGGAAGAAAATTAAATCATAGAATTTTCTCCTATTCCGAAGGGTTTCCAATTTAAATAAATAGTAGAATTTGGAAAGGTTGTGATCAAATCTATATGAATTGGAATCCCATTTCTGAAAGCTAGGTTGCATAGAAATTTACGTTGTACTTTTTCTAATTGATTGATATATAATTTAGTGCAAAGAGAACAAATGACAGAGGCGTATTCTAAAGTTGGATGAATCAGTTTTATAAAAAATTGAGCTGTCAATGAACCGGAAGGATTTGGGGTTGCGCGAAATCAGTCCCGGGGAATGCAGAACTTTCTTCAGTGTAACATTAATGTACAGTGAACATATGTACATTAAAATACAGTTTAGTCTAGAATCTCTCCAAGATCCCTCATGCTAGAGACAGTGTTCAAGGATTCACCATTTCATGAATATTGGTAGCTGACAACATTATGTCCATTTTTTTGTAGAACACCACTGCAAAAAGCCAGAGAGATCCTTCTGTATGCAGTAGGCATCATTAAGATGAGTTATACTGCTATAAATCTTGGTATCATTCGCAAAATTATTAAATTTATTTGAAAAAGATATCGCAGTTCAACAAAATATGTGACAAAATCGTCCTGAAAGCCTTGAGGTACACCAGAACCAACTGCAAATGTCTCGGACGCGTGTCGATTAGCACCGATTTACTGGACTCTGCCAGAAAGATAGGAGCGCATCTATGATAGAAGTGGCTCGGAGGCATGTCGATTAACAATGATTTACTAGCTTCTGGCAGAAAGATAGGAGCGTGTCTATAATAGAAGTGGATTGTTGATGCCTAAGTATGACTACTTGTCAATTAGTATGTCATGATTAATACGGGAAGCTGTGGCAAAATTTGTGTGTATACCATCGACTTGAGAACCTGATTCAAATGCTTTAATGATAGTTTTTAAATATAGCTATATTATAATGTTAATATTAGATTGTTAGTAAAAAAACCATGTTGATAGTCTGGAATAATTGTGGAAACATGTAGTGTCATTAACCACAAGTTTCTCGAAAAGTTTTGGAACAGAACTGAGAATGGAAATAGGACAGCAATTTGAAATACCACTTTGGTCTCCTTTCTTGAAGCAACGGACATCTTTACTCGTACTATATTTTCAAGCTGTGGGAAAAATCCCCAGGTACAAGGATTGGTTAAAGATATAATATAGTGTTGCTGCCAGAGCAAATTTGCAATTGCCCAAAAAACTTTTGGGGATCTCATCTGCTCCAGCTCTCTCACCTGATTGATAACCTGATGACCTTCAAATGACATAGATGAAGAAAAATTTCAGATAATGTGATTTTGATATTGTTGACCATAGAATGATGTTGAAGGTTTGCAGTAGTAGTTGGAATGCTATTTAAATCGTGTTTGTTATATTGATTTCAAAAAGTAGAAGAAAGGTGGCAATTTATGAATAAGCACTGTAGCAGTTCGTACCCAGATGCATATCACTAGGTAAGTGAGTGTGACTAGTAGATGTATGAGTATTAATAAATTTCCAGAAATATTTAGAATTGATAGAAGCAGATAGTTCAATTGGACTGCAAGGCAGAAAATTTAATGTAATAGTTGGAACTATTGGTTTGATTATACAGTTTGTGAAAAATTTTTTCTCTGATAAAGTCAATAAGCTCAGAATTGTGCCAATGCGGATAAAAACCGAAAAGAACCTATTTATTCGGAACAAATGATCTATTTAAGTGTCAGTCATAAAAATAAGTTAAACAGTCATAAAAATGATATATTAAAATCAGTCAGAGTAATTTGTCAGAGTAAAAGTTTGTCTATGCTTTTTAAGTCTTCCTCAACACCCCCCAGTACATTTATGATGGAATTTCGGGAGACAAAATCCAAATGTCCCGGCTATAAAATCATCTACACTGATGGTTCCTCCCTAAATGATAAAGTAGAACGTGCCTTATACTGCCATAGTGCCACTCAGAGTTTTTGAATAGACTCTTCCTGCAGACAGAAAAACCTCGCCTCGAAGAAAACTGAGGTTATCGCCCTCAGAATCCCAACGAATGAAAGCAAGCTGTTAATAGAACGCTCTATTTTCAGTGCATGGCAAACGAAGTGGCAGAACTCGGATTTTAAGCTCATGAGAATCGATTGGGTTCCATTAAACCTTGATCTTCATCTCATGGCTCTAGGCGCGAGGAGATAATTCTGATACGTCTTGGGATCGGTCACTGTTATTTCTCCCTGATATCTTCTCTGCAGTATGCGGTGACCCACTTCCTATTTGTGATAAATGTGAAACGGATCTTACCGTGGTTCATGCTCTCCTGCACTGTGCTAAGGCAAGAGATAGCCGCCGAATTCATCATCTTGCTATCTCTGTGTCAGAGGATAGTCATTTGCTAGGCACTGCAGCGAAAAAGTATATAAATTCAGTTGCTAGATGTAGGGGGGGGGGAATCCCTAACATGTGGTGTAGCTGGATTTGGGTGATGTCGTTTCCTGGATAAATTTCGACGTGCGCGCTATAACTCTCATCAAGCGCGGCAGAAGTTCGCAGTAGAACTTTTGCCGGGACATGAATGCGGGCCCTTGCCCCGCATGTGCATATGTAGTGCGATGTGGGATGGAGGAAAAGGGTATCGAGGATGTGAAATGATTACACTTTCAGATCACAGTGCACCATATTTATTGCATAATGCATTGAAAAATGCTATTCTCAATGGAGGGTGCGACTTCCTCTATTTCACACACAGTGAGCTAGGCGTCACGGACTCATAGAGAGATCGGATGGCATCCTGCGATATACCGCCCCAGACCTCTTGAGTGGACTCACAGTTCCCAAATACTGCGCGGGCGATGAATGTAGGAAGCGTCGCATTGCTCGATATGGAAGAGATCTGGGGATGCTGCGGACCATGGAATGGTGCATGTGGGTTGCACGCATAAACAGCAGAGGTGACAATCGCACCCCACACCATGACACATGGTCTTCGAGCCGTTCGGCGTCCGATAATAAACCGTGGGATTTCACGTTCGCCAGGGAGCCTCCACCCGGATTCTCTGGCCATCGCTGCCCAGACATCGAGATTCGTCGCTGAACCGCACGAGCTGCCAGTCTGCCTCCTCTCGGAAGCGCACCGTGGCAACCTTTGGTGCCGCGGGCGAACTGTTAAGGGGAGTCGTCTTCATGGACACAGGATGTTTCATTGTGGGTTGTACTGCGCGGTGAAAGCCCGCAAACGACGACGTTGGCTCAGTTACAGCCTGTCGAACAATCCTCCTACCCTTCATTGGTGTGGTTTGCTGGGGCTTTTCAGACCCTTACCGTCGATGGCGCGCGCGTTCGTGTTGCCACTGCTGCCAACATCTTGCAATGGTTACATCTGCACGATCCAAATTCTGCGCAATGTGTCGAAATGACCAACCGGCGTCATAGTCTCACGATGCGCCACCTTTGGAGCTCATCCAGCTGCTGATACTGCTTCCTCATCCATGGAATATTGAACATGTCATGATGCTAGCACAGCAGATTCACGGGCGACAGTGACTCTTCGGCGCAAAAATCGCCATTTTATAGCCGGGCAGATGGGCCGACGCGTGCGCGATCAGGCGGGTGAAGGGAATCAGTGAGCTGTCTTACGATGTGGAACCGACCCACCCTAGTTCGAAACAATTGGATAGCTTTTTTTCTGATTGCATCTTTTTTTTTCTAAGAGTGGGTATGTGATAGCAAAATTTTGAAAGCCGAGTTGGACTTCTCATTTGAAAATACTATAAAATCCTGCAAACGTTTGTCTGTAGCCAAATATATGTTGGCCAGTGTACTTATTGTGTTTTTGTTTTATTTTGTATTTTTACAGGGACCACAGAACAGTGTATGTTGGAGATGCTCGCGGAAGAGTATTTTCATGGAGCGTATCTGATCAACCTGGCAGGGCGGTTGCAGATCATTGGCTTAAGGATGAGGGCACGGATTCTTGTGTAGGATGTGGTGTCCGATTTACATTATATGAACGTCGACACCATTGCCGCAACTGTGGGCAAGTTTTCTGTTCAAAGTAAGTTAGTAAATGATTTGATAAGTAGTGTTCATTTACCTGTGACTATTCCACTCGTGAAATTAAAACCGATAATGTTTAACTATGCATACAAAATGCCCCAATCAGGGCGGTGAATTTCGAGAAGTTTATCGCTTTTTCTATCCGAATGTTCTTACCGCTTCTCCCTACTGGTCAATCAAACACTGTGACTCATCTCTCTTAGGTGGCAGTATACTACACCAATCGCTGTGTCGCATGTGATTTCAATATAGCTTTCATTTATTTTCAATATTTGGCGCATTTTGGAACTCTGTTGTACATAATTTCACTCGTGGAATAGAAATATTAAATACTCGTGCATTGGAAATTCTCAAATAAATCCCCTCCTCGCTTCGCGAGTCGGGAATTTATCGACAATTTCCAAAGCACTCGTGATGTTATCTATAATAATGTTACAAGTTGAAAGCAAAACCAGTTAATTGAAAAGCATGCAAAGTGAACAATTTGATTTTTTCAGATTTTTTACATCGTAAATAAATTTGCTGAAGTTTAATTTGCCCTTTTTCACTTTACCTTACATTTATACGGAGTAATCGACGTAGTGTAGAGGAAGTTACGTAATGTTGCGGCAAAACGGCGATTCTTCGTTGGAAAATCTTATTTTGTGGGGTCCTGATGCAGAAAAAATGATAAATCCTGTTCTAAAATTTAGTAAATTACTCCCTCTTACACGTTGTGTAGTCAGATTTCACGAATAGTGAGCCCTTGACACCGAAAAAGTGTAATTCTTTTTTCTCAAAACTTTCCGTCCGTTCGTCCGTCCGTGAAAACCACCTCTTAAACTATGCGTAGAATTTTTTCCATTCTGAATGTCGATCTGGCCACACTCAAAGTTCTGCAATTTTGAAAAACATTCATTTCCGTGGGTACTATACTTGAATCTCCAGAGACATGTTCAAAATTTTCTCTAAAATTGTCCCACTTTTTTTCTTCAAATTTCTTATAAGAATAGAGTGAAATACACATATAAAGGTGGTGAGGTTCAATTGTCACTGATAACACTGAATTTTTGAAAATTGCAAAAGATTGAAATTATTTTTGTCTTCCTACAACTACGAAATTGAAGGTAGGGTTTTTCCTTCAAATGAAATTTGAGATCCTTAATTAGTTCTTTCCTTAAGCTCATGTACATGTTTTAACATTTTAGTAGTTTTGCGCAATATTGAGTGAAGTACGTGCAATATTATTATTATTATTATTATTATTATTATTATTATTATTATTATTATTATTATTATTATTNNTTTAATTCTCGAAAACTGCTTCAATTTTTTCTTTGTGTACTGTATAAGACCACATAAATGCAATTTTGCTCTGTTCTTTTGTTCTTTGAAAAATTATGAAATTGTAATTTTTTTGGCGTCCCTTTCACGTTGTTAATATTTACATTACGTGCCATTTTTATATGTTACTATCGGAACTCGGCAGACGTTCTGCCTTCATCTGCCTCTTTCTCCTTCCCTCTCCATTTCTTTCTCCGTCTCTCGGTCTTTTCTTCAGACTTTTTGTACGGATAGTGTTAAATTCACTGTTTAAGATGACATATAAGTAGTTTTGGGGTATTACTTTGTTTTGTTTTTTTCAAAAATTACATGAATGCAATTTTTTTAAATATCTCTCTCGCCGTTAATATGCAGATTTCCAGCGATTTGAATATGTTATTGCAGTTGTGAGTGAAAGTGCTTCAAATGATTTCCAATAAACTTTTCAAAAACTTAAAAGTTTCCTGCAAAAAATAATATAGAATTTTGCAGGTACACTGCCGCTTAAACAATATTCCCTTAAAAACTATTCGAATTTTTTCAACGAAAATTTCCCTCCTGGACAAGGTTTTACTCTTCTATAATATTATTCTAGTAATATTTCGATTCTACCATTTGAAAACCGAAAAATTAGAAACTGGGGCAAGGCTGTAAAGCTAGCCCAGACCAAAGAAATTAGAAAACTAACTAGTACGAGAAAAACTGCGCCATTCTGTAGTACCTCTAGTTGGAGTATACGTATGGGCCTAAATAGGATTTAAGCACTTCATTTATTTTTGTCATGTATTTTAATCTAGAGAATTAAACTCTAACTAGCATACCCATGCGAAAACTCTCGCATTAAACCCCACCCTCATTTTTCCTAAGGATATTGTGAACCTGAAACATGAGAAAATGTCCTTTTCTATCGTAGTTCCCTTCTCATTTAGGTAAACGGCACTTAAAGACCACGGCAAAACGTAAAATGAATGTTGCACTATACTCATAAGACACAATCTTCATCAGTATCAAGTAACTATTAATAGTACTTCTAGTTGTTGCTGCGAAAACGAACCTTGAATTAAAAATAATGCAAATAAACCTCCTCAGTCGGCGCAAACCACGGTGTACACAGAAAGCGTAAATAGTATATACGGTGGGAGAAACATTTCTTTGAGACCTTTGGCCTCAGAAGTTTAGTTTTTAAGACCCTAGAACCTTTTGTTTAGGAGTTATTTAACGATATAGCTAACAGAGTGTTGCGGGTTGCATTTGATGTGACTATTTAGATCCGTTTTTAAACAAATCCTTCATATTTTTAAAGTCAAAGTGCAATTTGTCACATTTACGTGAAATTCTCTTTGTTTAGAATCACATTTGTAAAATTGGTTGCCTAAGAATGGCAAAAGGTACCTATACTGCGGATTTTATAACTCTACCCCCCAAGGTCCTACTTCACGGTGGCATTATGTCACTGCTCTTCGCGTCTTTCTCGGTCATCCCCCGCTAGATGTCCCATGTGCGCGACCGTATAGTTGTGCTCTACACGGTCGGGATAATACATTTATTATTATTATTATTATTATTATTATTATTATTATTATTATTATTATTATTATTATTATTGTTATTGTTGTTGTTGTTGTTGTTATTATTATTATTGTTATTATTATTACAGATTTCCCTTTAGTTATTTAATAAGTAAACATCTTCTAAACATAAGTAAAAAACGTTATTTTTTGTTTGTTTTAAGAAGACTTGCGTAGCAGCTGGTAAAGACAATTTTTCAGCAATTTGATCTGGCTTGTATAGATGAATAATTTGCCCTCAAATTACAAATTTCAATCACTTATTATGTAAAGCTGCAAAACAAAATGTTGTTGAGATTTTGACAGAAATACACCTTTTTGAAGTTTCTAAAAATGTTATCCCAACATTTGTGATTGAACTTACAAAGAAGGGTTTTCCCCAGTTATAGATATTTCCCAATCAATCTGGCCTAACTCGAACCCCATGAAATGGTTGCGGATGGATATTTTTTGTGAATAGTGAATAGTGAAAAGTTGACGAAAATTTTTTTTTCAAAGAAATCACATTTTTGGCTGTAGAGGGATGTAGGTGGTGGGAAGGGAGTTAAGAAACCTTTTGAAAGGTTTCTTAATTTTAATTTTTGTGTTAGAGTCATAGTGTCACTGGTATGTCATTTGGTTTAGGGGAACTTTTAACCATCTCCTCCATGGGTAACCTTAAAATTATTTTGGAGTCCAGCTTTAATTTCTTTACCGCAATTTCTGTAGAACTCATTTCATGATTTTAGCATACCTTTGTTCAAAAGAAAATTTGTTCAACTTGACCAAGAGCAAGACCTGACTTAAAAAATGTTAGGTTTTTGATAACAAGTTCTTGATATTCGTGGAGGTTACTTTCCATTAAATTACCTGAAATTTGTGACAATTTTCCTGAAAATACATGACCTGAAATATGGGACAATGGAATTTCCCTATCGAATCTCAAGGTTCTCCAGGAATCTTCCTTCTGGGTGGAACTTCTGTTTGGGAATTTATGACTGCCTTCCCAAACACAATTACTAAATCATGGATTTTACTATTTACAAGAACAAAAACCATGAAAATATAAAAATCTAAATTCCTAAAGCTAAATTGTTCTAATGACTATCAAACTATTTAAACAAAATTATGAATGTTTTGGGTGGACATTTATGTAGTGGCTTGTAATCTCATTAACTACAAGTCCTATTCCTAAGTTAAAGTATTCAATAATGCTCGTACCTTCATAAGAAAAAAACAAATTAACATTATACCATCAGCAAAGTAGTCTCACTAATCAATAAATATGACTGCATACAGAATCTGAATTATTTAAAATCTTCCTAATATCGACAACCACATACCATTATATTATCAATGTGGAATATAACTTCAATCTCACAGATGTCCCCTTTTGTCTCTAGCTTTTTTCTGATCAAAAATAGTCCTGGACAAAATGTTACTTCCATATTTCATTTCCTTTTAAACTTTTGTAATCAGTTTTGTTTCAGGGAGTTTCCTGTTTATTGACAATCATTTATCTTGACATTATACCTAAACTGGTATTAAAACGTGTCACTATTGGTTATCCACTTTCCCTTGGTCATATTATTTGATGAAATATAAGAAAATTGTATATTCTAAAATGAAATTTATCATACATTAGGACTGTTTCTGATCATTAGCCTTAGTGCTCAATGTTAAGTATTTATTGTTCCTTTCTGTCTCAAACACACGTGAGTCTTGAAATCTGCATCATAGTATTAATGTTTGATTTCCACTAACATAAACATGGTTACCATGTTCTCTGTTTGTAAATATGTAATGTTTTGGTTTATTTCCAATTCCGAATTCTAATGTCGTCAAAGGGTTATTGTCTCAATTATATTGTGCAGAAATTTCCGTGGAATGTTTGCGATATCTCAATATGTTCCTGTTTATTAGCCCTGGTATTTAACTTTTACATGTGCATTAGGTATTTCATGTACACTTTTTTCATAGTATTAGTAACTTTCAAAAAAAATTGTGTTGTATTGTGATAATTTTGCATTATTTTTCATATGTTTTCATTACATTTTACTAATTGTATGAGTAAGTGGGAGTTCTTTTAGCATCTAGTTTTTTCTTGTTGCAGGTGCAGTCGCTTTGAATCTGAGATTTCACGACTGCGCATACTTAAACCTGTGCGTGTATGTCAGGGCTGCTATGCTGCTTTGAGGACACAGCATCAATTATCGGAGAGCGGAACGTAGCCCGCAAAGAACAGCCTATTAAGGGCTTCTAGCATTCTACAAGGACAGTCATTGCTTCAATTTGCTGATAGACAATATCTTCTTCTTATGGGAAACAAAGGAGACAATTAAGTACCTAATGATTTTAAGGTTTGTTTTTTGTGGTTATTTTATTTAATTTCATTTAATTTGAGTGAATGTGTAAATAGCTGTGTGGGCTAAATGAATTTAGCATTATAGACAGAAAAAAAATACTGTATTTTCAGACGATATTTATTTGTTTTCCATTGTTTTAATGAAATCTTCACTCATCATTTTTTGATATAGTCCTGTGAAGAAAATTAATATTATTGTAGTTCACTTAAATAGGCCCTACTGGTCATGTAGTTAAAAAAATCACTTGTAAGTATTCTTAGAATCAAAAAACTGTTATAAATTATGCATATAATACCTGCAATCTGTGTACGTAAATATTAATGAAATTTTAAAAAAATTCTGTGGTGTTCCACAGAAAAATTAATCAACAGTAGTGTTAAGGTAGACTAAGACCATTACAGTGTCTTGATGGTGAAGCATGATGGGCTTAGTAGGAATGATATGCATGTTTATTATTGCAGAAGAAAATTTCCAATAGATTGTAATGAACTGCATGATTATTATTGTCTGTGGGAGGAAGAATATCAAAAAATAAAGAAATAAGTAAGCATGATATATATGTAAAAATATGTTGAACTCACTGAATTGTATAAATAATTTTTTGAAGTTAGTCAAATATTGTGCAATCATTTATTTTTCTTTGGTTATTTTTAGAGGATAATAGGGTTTTAGTATAATTTGTGATATTGATTGTGTGTTACCCTTTATGCTTCACCACAGGGTACTTCTCAAAAGAAGGAATTGATGATCACTGCTATTTGTATGAAGTTTTTTGAATGGAAACTTGCGATGCTTGAAAGTATTAGTGTAAAGTATTTTAAATCTAGTCAGTATTTTAATTTTTTATACTTCTTTGTATTAATTTTAGTAGAATGTTCATTTCTCTATGGCAGAGTGAATAGCATGATTTTTTTTATCAAGTGTGAATTTGTTAACTTTTTGCCCTTGAATCTTTACTCTTAGATTACTTCGTTTTGTTGAAACAGGATAATCTGTAGAGTCAATATAATAAATTGTGTACCAAGTACACAGCTGTGGAAAGTCTGTATTTAATAGAGATGAGTGTCAATGATATGTATAAAATAAATATATATTTCTTCAAAAATTTGTTTCATAAAAGTATCAGTAAAATATTTCACTTAACACAGAAAATGAAAATGAAGAGTTTGATTTCTGAATAAATTGCTACCATTTGTAATGATAAAATTCTTTGTGTTTATTATTATTTAATTGTATTTGTTAATTGTATGTATTTATGATTTTCTGGTGAATTCTTTTCCCCTGATTGAAATATTTGTATGTGATAAAATGCTTACTTCGTAATAGCACCTGCAGTCAGGATTTAATGCAAAATAAAATATCAAATATTCTAATTCTGTATGTTGTATACTATACGAAAATACTGTATGTTGTAATGATTGAAATTCAATTCTTTTATTTTGATTATTTAAATGTATACACACTCATACATTCATACAGGAGTGTTTAATTCGTGGAATGTATAATTGGTCTTGCTCTCTACATGAATTTGAGATCTTGCCAATCTATAAGTTCAATTATACATCAAAATTGGCCTTTGAAATTGTGCTTATGTGATTAAATGTTACACAATTTTTTGATGTGCAGACAATATTATTAGTATTTCATGTTCTTTTAGTGTATTACTATCTACTGTAGGTGAGTTAGATTCCGTGATTCCTGACAGAAATCATAAAAGAATTTCACTTGCCTAATGATTAGAGACATTCCCTGATTTTTGTATGTGATGTATTATATCAAAGAAGCTAAGCTCTAAAGAGTTATAATGCATTCATGTATATTATATTCTTTCCAAAAATTTATCTTCAGTAGTGTTTATATTTTTGGGGAATCTCATTCTACTTGGTATGTTGATTACCAAGATTTGAGTGATTTAATACAATATTTGTTAGAATAAACAAAATTTCCCCTCTGTGATACATTTGTTTCATCGCTTTTTTATTGAAATTTTAATTACATGTTTTCTTGTTGATCAGTTGAGAGGTCTGGGAAATTATTCTCTTCATTTTCATTTAATTGAAGCACCTATTTTTGCATTTGCGAGAGTATGTAATATATCTGACTACTCAATCCCAATTTCTTAGTGCCTGTGTAGATATTTCTTGAAAGACTTGAATGCTAACTTGCTTAAGTGAGATGCTGGAAATTGCAAAAAAAAAAAAATTAAGACATGAAATTAAGAAAAACATCTATGTATGAATAAATCTCTACATTGATTAAAAAAAAGAATTAATCTTTGCATTGTATGCAAAAATAAGCACTACAAAGACATTCTGTGGAGTACATTAATGAGTATTCTGCCTGGAACATCTTTTTTATATGAGGTATTGTGTGTATATGTATATCTGTTTATATTCACATGTACATATGTTCAGGTTGAATGGGCTTTGTGTGTAATAAAATTAAAATTTCATTCCATCACCACATGACAATATAGGCAGTTTTTATTTGCAGCGAAGTGCCTAGGAGGTACGTGTGTATAGATGTATTAGCTTAGTCAATAACACCTTCAATTATATTTCCATGATAATTAGCAATATACTCTTTTTAGATGAACAGAATTTTAGTACATTTGAACAGTATTATGTAATACAGAAAGATGTTTTTATACTGCAGTTTAATCCTTTGTATTGTTATTGAAAACATATATATCACTGTTGTAAGTATTACATGGAACATGGTGTCTCACCATTGCTTATGAATTTGTAAATAATTTTTGTTATTACCTTTAAATGTTTATTGAAAATGTTTTGTTTGCGAGAGATTTTTTTTGTAATTTTTATTTTTTTATTTTCTATAAGATTTATAAGTTAATTGTTTTAATTTCTATTGATTCAATTCAATTTAATTTTTTTTAAATAACTTCTTGCCTAATTTTAAGCTTTTGCTCTAAAACAGATTTTGAAATTGTGTATAAATTGTATTATGAATGATATATTTGTAAGATAATATGTACTACAAAAAATTACATATTCTATTAATGAATCTCCCTGTAAATATGAAAGGATGTATGTGTATGGTGAAAGATTGTCTTTTACAACTTGATATGACAATGGGAATAGTCATGTTGAAGTTGTAAGTAAATTCTACACATATTTAAATATGTGAATTTGGTGTATGTTTCTAGAAGTATTGAAATCTGAAGACTGTATGAATATTATCCTCTCTGGTTAGAAGTAGTAATAGAGACTGCATAATTAAATAACATGACATGTGATAAGATAGGCCATCATAGGACAGTTTTGTAAGTGTTTGTGTGGTGTACAAGATTTATAGTACTGTTCGAAGTTGTTATAATTTTGAAAAACTTAATATCTTAGTAAGTTAGTTCTACTAAATGATGCTGAATGTTTTATAAAAATAATTGTAGTGCCATTTTGATTGCAATGCATTAATTGCCCATGTGTACAAAATTTGAGATAAACATTACAGAATGACCCAATTAATTAGTTGAATTATTTCCTAAACTATATTTTATCTACTGTTTATTTCTTTTTAACTTCAGCAAATAAATAAAAAAGTAAAACAAACTGGGATGAAGTTAACTATTTAAAAATATTTTTGTATATAGTTTGTATTAACAGTATTGGCTCTCTTCAGTGCTATAAATAATGTTACGCCCAGCTTATTCGTTGTACATATTGAGTGGCTTAGTTTATGGAGAAAGTGTTGCACATCTACTCAGAGTATTGGCTTTAGTATGAATGGAGAGACACGAAAAGTAATAAAATTGTAAAGTATTCTTGTTTTTTAATGGTTCTGAGAGTTTTATTACATATGAACTTGTAAACAACTCGACTGGATATTAACAATTGCCCTTGTAAGTGCAGACATAACATTGGAGAATAGTAATAGGATGAAATGGGCAGCTGATTTCAGATCAGTGTTGTTGTAATAATCCCACTGTATCATCTGCTTGTTTGTAGTGTCGTGATGCAAGATTTTTACTTTTTGCATTCCAATTTTGTATTCATGTGGATAATTAATGCACAAGAATACAAACAAGTTAATAAATAAAACTTAATGAAAATACCTATGCTCATTAAACTATTGAGAAGCCAACATTTAAAAAAAAATGTATTAAGAAGTATGATATGCTTACAGTGAGGAATTTGTGTTATTGTGAAAATTAAACTAATTGTGCATTGTGTAGATACTGACCGCTGGTAAATTGTGTGTCTTTAGCATAACACTATTTTAGCACAATAAACTATTTAGCATACAGAAATGTTGGATACCAAAGAGATCTATTGAAATTGAATAAAAGATTTAACAGAGAAAAGTGTATTGATTTGTTCTATTTTTAAATTTACGCCTAAATTAACTTTAGAAATTAGTAAAAATTTGATAAAAAATTAATTTTTCTATTTGACATGTTTATTTTCTCATTTGTTTTTGTTGCATATTTCAAAGATAAGGCAGCAAGGGAAGTGATTTAGTGTGAAGTGATTTGCAATTTATATGACTTATTCAATTAAATTCAAATATCAGAGTTTGTTTCTCACTGGACTTTGGGCCTCTTGTGTTGGCCATTAGCTTTTACATTGCCATCCTGATTGTAGCTTTACATACTTCCAGATGGTGAGTTTGCTGTCAAATGTTAGCCCCAATTACTTGATGCTCTTATCGGCTTCAGTGCGGAGCTCTTGAATTTCTACACTCGCCTCAGGGACCAGATTGCATTTCATGATTAGAATTGTTTTCTTAAAAGCTAATTCTAGTTTATACTTCCTGGGAATTGAACCTAGTATATGTTTCACAAGTGTTGTAGTATAGATCCTTGTACTATTTTTGTCATGAAATTCTTAGTTTTCTGTCCATTCTCAGTGTTGTAGATAACAAGGAAAAAGATAGTTTGTGTAGGATGTGTAGTATCTCAGGATCTGGAATGTTGTACAGTGTGCGAAACAATAATAGTTAAAATTTATATAATGTTAGCATAATACATAATTATGAAATTATGCAAGTTCTGAATCAATAATAACATAATGTATTTGGTTCAATCCAAAATACATAATTTCAATAACAACTGCATGACTGTTAGCTCTTTTACAGGCTTCAGTTAATTAATGTTTGCACTGCTTCAGTACTATTGTGACTTGCAACTTACACTGTGAGTTCCAATTCTTCCCCCTGGACTGACTACCAAAATATTCAATCCAACCATTTTCATTCATTGCTCGTGCTTAGTCGTTGTTTCTGCTAGTCTGCTACTTGGTCATTAATAGGAATATGAAGTAGTCATCTTTATTTTGTGATAGGGAAGAGCGACGAGACTTTTGACGTTTTAATTTTTTTAATGTTGCTTTGAGCTTGGTGAGGATACTGGTCAAGGCAAAATTATGTTACATACTTTAAATTCAAAATAAAATGTATTAATAAAAATCATTTACAATTAGAACATTTTACTGTAAACCACGCCCGTGAGTCAATCCAGCCTCCCAAACTACCTCCCTGTGCTTGATTGCAGTCTTGCCCTGCCGCTCTGTAAATTTAGGGAGGGGAGTTCGGGAGGCGAGACATGCCATGTGGCATGTTGGAAAGAAAATATAATATAACATTTATTTATTCTCATTAAATTTTTTTACAAGGAATGAATTAAAGATAATGCTGATCAACTCGTAGAGGGTGAATGATCGCATGCTGCGCGCTTAAAAACGACCATACTACTTTACAAAATCGCTCTAGAGGCGTCCTTTTCGGTTGCGAAAGCGATGACCGCACCGTGCGGCATTCAGTGACCAAGGCCCCGTGAGTAGGCCAGGCACACAGGTAGGCGCCTAGCAATGGGGCGGCGGCGGCCGAGGGTTTTCTTCTACAGGCGTCGGTCATGCGCAGACAGGAGCGATGGCGAGCGCGGCGAAGCGCGCTCATAACATATCTCTCACGCACGGTTAACAGCAATCGCGCTTATTCATTGGTTCTCGAGGTCGGGGCGGACCCCTAACAGCTCTTACTTCGTGCTTGTTTATGAGCTACTCACGGCGGAGCGTCCGATTCAATGACATCGGTAGACGTTAGGCCGCGAAGCGTTCCAATCTCCGTGACGGGTGGTCGCGGCTGGTGAGCCCG